TCAATACCCGTACTGAGCTAATTTTAGCCAAAGGAGAAAATGTCTCCATATAGTCCCCACCATACAACTGAGAATAGCCCTTCGCCACTAACCTGGCCTTTAATCGTTCCACACTGCCATTAGGAAGGTACTTCACTGTGTAGGCCCACTTACATCCAACAACATGCTTACCAGGAGGGAGAATAGTAAGTTCCCACGTGTTATTGTGCTATAAAGCAGACAATCCCTCTTCCATAGCTTGTCACCACCCTGGAGAGGTAAGGGCTTCCTGGACAGTTTTGGCAGTGGAAACAGAGGATAGCAAGGAGATAAAATGGCAATGGGAAGTAGAAAGGTGAGCAACTGAAACATAGTGAGAGATAGGATGAGATGTACAACTACGTTTACCTTTCCGCAAAGCAATAGGAAGATCAAGGTCTAAAGGAGGTACAACCATAGATCAAGGTCTAAACATTATGAATTTCAGCATGAAATTTTTGAAAAATGGAGAACAATTCACTGCGATCTTTCACAAGATAGAGCCATGTCATCCTTGAAAAGTCATCAACAAAAATTACAAAATGCTTATAACCATTATAGGACATTACTCTATTTGGACCCCAAACATCAGAATGAACTAAGGAAAAAGGACTCAAAACACGACTATCAACTCTTGGACTAAAAGAGACTATGGTGTTTCCCAAGCTGACACGACTCACAATCCAATGAGGAAAGATGACTTAAGGATGGAACCAGCAACTTTAAAGCCTTGAGAGATGGATGACCAAGTCTAAAGTGCATTGAAGAGGAGTAAGAGACGACTGAAATGCTATTGGCGGGCCACCACCATCAAGGTAATACAGTCCACCTGCCCCATGCCCTCCACCAATCTTCATCGCAGTCTTGAGATCTTTAAACACACAAGAAGAGGGATGGAGGTTATAGAATAGTTAAGTGACTTGGTTAATCTACTAACAGACGTAAGGTTAAACGGGAACTTGGGAACATATAAAACAAATGATAAAGATAAGGAGGTAAGATTAACATCACCAACACCACAAATGGGAGATGGAGACCCATTAGCAAGGGTAACTGTTTGGGATGTGGAAGATTGAGAAAGAGAAGAAAATACATTTGGAGTCCCAGACATATGATCCGAGGCTCCAGAGCCAATGATCCAGTGTGAAGGTTTGGAAGCCAAGCAAGCCATACCTGATTAGGCAAGAGTAGTTGGGTTCTACTGATATGATGTCTGAAGGAACTTCTCATATGCCTCACATGGTACACTCACCATCTCCTTCCCAAAAGCACCAGTAGATGTGGAGGGAGTTTGATCAATTTGTTGATTTTCACAAACTGTACCACTGCCACCAGTCACAGCATGGTTACCCCAAGTGTTGGGTGGACCATGTAAATCATAGTAGAAATTAATAGCATGCCCTCTTATCCACAGTATGTGCATTTTCTAGTTGCATTACTCCTTCCTCTACCACGACCCCCCCCCCCTAACTCTCAACCACCACTGCAGCCACCAGACCGATTAAAACATAGAACTACCTCGGTTTCTTGGAAACCCACGACCACCACCTCCACCTCTATTTCCACGACTTCCCCCTCTAGTCACCACAAAACCAGATCTGTCCGAGAAAGAAGAACCCCCCAAAGATGGGCAAACACTTCTTCAAGGGAGGGAAGAGCTGAACCCCCCAATATTTGTGCCCAAACAGGTTCATATTCAGCCTTCAGACCCACTAGGAACCTTGTCACATCAAGCTGCTCTCATTATTGTTGTTGAACCTGAACATCCAGAGTCAGAGGATGATATACATTAAGCTCATTTCTGATATTCCTCATGCTTGCATAGTATTCCTCCAAGCTTTGGTTACCTTGCTTCAGATTAAAGTACTCTTGGTACAGCTAATATACCCTAGTAGTATTATCTTGGCTGGAGTAAAGTTTATTAGCATGGTCCCAGATTTCTTTAGTTGTATCTAGGAACATAAAATTCACTGATTTTAGGTTCCATGCTATTCCACAACCAGGTCATGATTTGTGCATCCTCCTGTTCCCAATCACTGAACCCTAGAGAATCAGAGGAGGGCTTCTCCTCTCTCACATGTTTTACCTTTTTCTTGACTTTTAAAAATACCTCCACAGATTTTGCCCATGGCACATAGTTCTCACCATTCAACTTAATAGATGTCATTTGAACATTTAGGTAATCTGGAGAAATCATAACACCTGTTTTATTGTCATTCCCATCTCCAGTCGATGCCATCTTAACTAATTCACCTTACTTCACAAAGAAATCACTGTTATAAACAAATTATTCACCTTCGAATATTCAGCACAACTTCATGCACCACCACAAAACCCTAACTCACTTTCAACACCACCAACTTCTCAAAATACACATCACACATCTACCCCACTCACTTTCAGCACCACCGACTTCTCCAAATACACATCACACACCTAATACAAGAGTTGTAATCACTCAGCCATTAAATCAAACACCTACACTGCACACTACAGAACCAATCACACACCTAATACAAGAGCTGTAATCACTCAACCATTAAATCAAACACCTGCACTGCACACTGCAGAACCAACCTGTACTCAACTGAACACTGTTCCACCAGAACCTGCTCTCTTTGTACCATCGAATAGAGAGCTTCCAACCAATCACCACAAACAACCACTGCACCACACACTAGAGGCATGAAGGCCTCCTACAGAGAAAAACGATCACTCCTTTGCAGCCTTTCCCCTAATCTCCCAGTAATTCTTGAGAAATCTGTGAAACCCTAGAAAAGAGGGCGATAAAAAAAACTGGGTAAACCAGAAAAAAAAAAACGAGAAGATCTGAACTTGTTACGTTCGCTCTGATACCATGTAAATCAATCTTATTCAGTTCAGACCTGAAGTATGAGGAGAAGAAGAAGAAGAAGAAGAGAAAGGGAAGAAGGGTTTGGCTATTGTGGAAAAGTTACTCACTCTAGTCAACCCACTTTGTATTTATAGTGAATAGGTTAAGTTACAAAAAGACAGTATTGTCCCTTATAAGTGATGGGACACATAACTTAAACTTGAACAAAGAAGACCTTTCACTTTCAACTAGATAAACCAAAAGACCAAAATACCCCTGTACTGTCGACACTAACAGATTGAAACCAGTTCAACCAAGCCAGTCCGTTGGTTGGTTTTCCCACAATTTGTATTCGGCGCTGGAGTAGCCCTTGTTTCCTCCATGTTTGAAGCTACGTGTTGGGCCTCCTCTAAACCCTCTGGGTTTAAAATACTAGTGTCCAGGGACTCTGGTGGTGACATTAGTGATCTATCGTGTCTTCTCCTACACCGCCTCGACCTACTCCCCCCTCTTCTACGGTCCAGATCGCTCCAACTTTTCACAACAACACCCCACTAACTTCTCACACAACTCTTCAAAATTCAAATTTTGAATGGGTATATTAATTTTAGTCTACCTGCCCTCTAACATTCTACAGATCAGATTTTCTATCTGACTTTTCTTTTTGCTCACTCTTTCCTTTTTGACGTCAGTGATTTCAGCTATCATCGTGTGCCCCTGTACCTCACCCGCAACTGCCCTCTCCGTCTCCCTGAGCTCACCCTCTTCTCCGGCACCGGTTAAGCTTCTTCCTTCCTCTCTAGTCACCACTTTCCCCTTCATTTTTTGGCTTACTTCCGAATCGATGTCTGAACCTGCCAAGGCCAAGTGGATCAGACGTTTCTCCACTAATAACGCTTGCCTTGCATCCTTCGTCTTTCTGCAGCATTTTGGAGGTATCTCCGGTCACAGGGTTACCACCACCATCTCGCTTTCTTCTAAGATGTTTGTTGTCGCCGGTGGGTAGCCCTTCCACTTTGCTTTAAACCTCACTCATTCTGTCGTTTCTTTTGCCTCCTGTGAGTTGTCCATTTCTACATACCCTCCACATAACTCTCCTATTTACCTAACCACTGCTTCACTCCAAAACTGTAAGGGAAGGCCAAATATTTTCACCCGATATTCATCACCGTCATTGAGTGGTTTTCCTTGCCCCTCAGAGTACACCTCCCATGGAACTAAGTGCATCACAGAACCTTCACCATTTTTCGCCCCTGTTTTCCATACCCTGAGTGTCTCTGCCTCATAGGGGAAGATAAATAGGAAGTTTTTCCCGTATAATATCCTTACTCTTACCCCAAAAGCTATGTTCCATTTTCTCGCCGCCCACTGTTGTAGTTTTGGAACCGAGTAAGATGTCTCCACCGAGCCTACCAGGCATGCTTTCAGGAACTTCTTCCTCTTTTCTTCTCCCTCCCTGTTTACTTCAACAAAAAAGTTTTTCCTTCCAACTTTTACTGTGGCTTCTCCCTCTTTCGTCCATTCCAGAGCTTTGCTTTCTCTGCAAAGGATTCCACTATTTGATTTTCCCCTTCCCTGTATCTTCTTCCCCCATTGCTGCCAAAGGGTTTTGACTTCTGGTAATATGCCTTCCTAGGGTAATTTCCACAGTGTCTCATCTCCCCTAAATGGGGTTTGTGCCAACCGAACCTCTCATTGATCATTTTCCACCGGTCGTCACCGTCTTGACACTGTTGGTTGTCTCTGCTAATACCGTAATGAGCTCACTCAGCCCCCTCCAAAAGGCTTGAATTTTAGGTGGTAAAGGCACGTATGGATACAGTATTAGATATGAAATTTACAATAGGAAATCGTTATACAGGTATCAAGATAACATTAGACCAGCACAAATTTGGCTGGAGAGAAGGAATCTTAAATTCACAACAAGGAGGTGAACCTATTGCTCTAGGATGCCTTCCAACTGAAGGTGAACTATTGTTCCCCCTTGTAAGCACCTATTTGTTACAAAGTTCTCTTGCTACTAATTCTTTCAAAAAAATGTAGCTTCATTTATTTAAGTGGAATACAAAGAGAGAAAACATCATGCTGATAACACCAAAACAATAATAAAACTAAAGTAAAAATATAAAAGTAACACAAAAAATAATACCTGCAATGCATATGTAAGACGTATGTTCTCCTCAATTATATCTTGCCTATAAGAGATAGCTTTTGATGCAGCATCAACAAGGTCCTGCTGTTGTTGATCAAATGCCTGGTTGAAAGCATTCAGTTTAAGAAATTGCCAATAAATTAACCAGAAACTAAGCAAGCTAAAGCAATTTCACCTACCAAACGCATATAAGCAATGCGCTTTTCCAGTATATTCTTCTCTTTGTGAATTTCTGCTTCCTGTCAGTGAAATGTACCTTGGCCAAGTTAACATGGAACCAAGCAATATGAAAGATACACCAACCTAGGCAATAGTAAAAAATTAAGTATGTCTTCTCACCTTGATAGAATATTCAGAAAGATGTTTCCTCAGCTGCAAGATCTCTTCTTCATGCTCCCGAACCTTAAGAATGAGGTCCTGTGGCAAATGTAGACCTCCGTCTATCAAGCATCACTACATGAAATTTCTGTTGTTTATTTCATACAAACAACTAATAAATAAAACCTGCTTCCAGACACTGTTTGAGTTATTTGACATTAGCCCTCGTCCAGCTGAGCCATATTCGGTGTCAAATTCACCTTCTCTTTGGTACCTATCATACGCATTAAACAAGAAAATCTAATAAACAAAGTTGTATGTGGTCATATTAGCTAGTTTTCCAATATAATGTGAGCAATAGGGAATACTCAAGTGATGCTTTTTACATATCTGATGTGAAGATACCTGCTTGGAGAAAAGGATCTTGAATCTAATTGGGAAAATTGAGAGAAGCCAGCATTATCTACAGCTGCCTGCCCCCTAGGAAGTGCCTTCAAATTTCCATTTACCTTGCTGCCCTCGGAGTAATGTTGACTTTCTGCATGATTTTGTGAGGCATGATCCTCAGTTTTTGCCATTAAATTTTGATGGAGAGCTAGAGTGCCCTGTGAATAAAATGAGGTAAATTATCTATCCGTCTACTCATACCTTCTTGGCTCATTTCAGAAGTAAATGATTGACATGCTCTATAAGGTCCATGGATATGCTTGCCTCTCTCTGAATGAGGTCCAATAACTGTTGAATCATCTGGTTTCTGATAAAATGACACAACTAGGATTTATTAAAATATAACTTCAGGGAAAGAAAAAGTTAGTCACACAATGAAATGTTCTCATTAATTTACGAGTTTTACATTAAGTATGTTCTTGCTCCATCCAAAACAAAGTATGCTTCTAAAGAGACACTTTTTGTTTGTGCAAGTGCTCTCTCAATATTGATGCTTGTAATTATCTTCCTTTCATTAGTGTAAGTTCAATTTTTTACTATTGAAAAGGGACTTGCATATATTCTAAACTGTAAGTTAAATTGCAGTCAAATATTAATTCCTCTATAGCAATCAGAAAATAACAATTGCACTTACATATTTTTCTAGTTCTTGGTCCCTCTTTTGAAGTTCATTCCTCAAGCGGTTATTCTCTTCCACCTACAAAAAATGTGATGCAATATAACTGATGATAGTCACCACAAGCAACACAAACATATATAAAAGCTACAGCATGAATACATGATTAAACTTAGAATGATTTACCAAAAGAAGATTAACTTCAATTACATACAGTGAAAGCATATCAGTGGTTATACAAGTAATGCAATAGTTCACAAATTCAAACTACAGAACAATGATTACCAATATAAAAAGATTGGTGAGGTTATTTGGCAAACAGAGAAACTATATCCAACCACTTGACCAACAAATTAGCTACAAATCAATCACTTACACAATGAAGATAGTTTTAAAATGGTGTTTCTACGATGAAGATAGTTTTAAAATAAAATTCAGATACAGGTATACAATATTATTTAGTTGCAAACGTATATAATCTGGTAATGCAGACATGAAATATTTTTCATCTATAAAAAGTTTTACTAGTTAAAAAATAAACAAAAAATGTCTTTTTTATTTTTCGGGAGGGAGCAAGAGAATATGATGAGATCGTGAAACAAAAACAAAAAAGTATTTTTTCTTTCTTCTTCAAATAAAAAAAAAAGGCAGAACCTTTCTCTCTTGGGGGATCCATAAAAAGAATGAAGTTATGTTAGTAAAAACAGAAGGTGAAAGGATAATTCTCAAGTTGGCATATGATGAATGAAAATGTGTTGGGGTTACACCAAATTGAGATTGAGGGAGACTC